TATTCATTGGCACAACAAACCTTTCCAATCATTCTAGATGGAAGCTAACACATATTTTTATTCAAATAAGTATTGATTTCAATTTTAGACTGGAGACAAAACACAATTAGACTATGAAAAACTGGGAAAGAAATATGAGCGAATGGTTACATTGATAACAAAATGGTCAGAAACTGCGCCGAAAATTCAAATACCACAAGAATGGGAGAATGGTAGCTATTGGTTAGATATGTTAGAAAGATACAACGCTAATAGAATGAGCCCAAATGCTATCAATTTAGAGTAAGTTCTTTATTCAATAGGTATACCAACCAATCCATTTTGACAATTTGTTGACTTGTTTAAATTGATTTTGTTCTCAATTAACAAACTCAACAATACTTTAATATATGTATGGAGCTCTTATTGAAATCAGGTATTTCATACCGTAATGACCATATAAGTAGTAGTATATTTCCTTCAATTGCAGGTTACGTAATTTCATGGAATCTATTAAGCCACTTTTAAACAATACTGGATTTGAAAAGTTTGGCCAGGTAGTAGACAATATATTGAAGATAGTTAACCACAATCTTATTGGTTTAGAAAATAAAACCTTGACATTAAGTAACATGCTGTACACTGTACCAATCTTACGTGATGTCATGGATGCTATGGGAATTAACTCAGACATCTTGGAAACTATTCTAGAAGCACCAGTAAAAGACCCACAGTTGATTCTTGAAACATTCTTACAAAACGATACACGCAAGATTTATTGTGGAGACACCTCTGCTTGGTACGCCATTTTGAATCTGCCAGCAAGTTTCGATGCTTCAGCACTCAATAATGCTGTATGTAAAAATGATAACAATGATCTGATCCAAAACTTAATTCGTAATCTAGACATTGAAGAATTAGTAAATAATTTTGACAATGCTACCTACAACATGGAGAAGACATTTGAATTATCGCAGAGCCTGGGCAAAAATATTGAATCTTTCTTGAAATTCATGCCGGAATTCAAAGACCCTGATGCAGTAAACAGACTAATAGAAAGCTACAATGAAACCAATCTATGGAATATGTTGACTCTTTACTCTACCATTGCTCAATTGACATCTGGTATGGGAAATGAAGCTAACCTAATTGGACAGACATCATCTATAGTGTATGAATTCCTCAACAATTTGATGAGTAAATTTGATATAGAAGGAAATACATTGGATTTAGCCTCAATTTTTAAAGATAGTTCTACTTTCATGAGAATCCTGAAAACTTTCATGAACCTGACCCCAGATCCAGTTAATGCTTTGTTGGGAATTCAACTTCGAGGAAGCAAGGTAAGATCTGCCAATTTTATAATTTTTCTTTAAATTTATTCCTTGATTTTCAATGAGCAATAAGCTGAGAATATTGTTATTCTCTTTTTCTTTTTCTTCAAGTCGCAGAACATCCATCTAAAAAGAAATTCTGTTTATAAAATGTTCACTTGTTTACTTCCCTTTACATACTGTACATTAATAGCCTCTTTATTACTGTAGTAATAAGTTAAGATGAAGTTTAATTTGATCTATCAATGCAGTTCTTTACATTATTCACATTTCAAATCTTGTTGATTTGGATGAATAGAAACAATGTTAGCTGAAAACCCACCACCAATGAGTGATAACTCATCATTACAGTGGATCCCCCAATCTGAGAGTGTTGGATGAGGTCGTGCAGCAGCAGAAACACCAAAGCTGTATATAATAACGACATTATTGCCATTTCAAAATTGTTTTTTTTTCTTAGAATACAGATTTTGCTAGTATAGTCACAGATCCAGTGAAATTAAATGAGTTATTCTGTTCAGAAGAGAAGTTTAGAGAGTATTTCCTAGTAGCTGAGACATTCAATGTTTCTGTTATAATTGATGGAATGTGTGATATTAATTTTACCCTGATTGTATCTGAACTGGAATCTGATTTAGGTATTGATGCCATGATCCAAAAGGTAATAATCTGAAATATACCCTACACAAATGTCATGGTACTTATAATACTGAAATTAACGCCCTAATTTCACCACTCTGATATGAAGAATTATTTCAAGGTTAAGCTCAAATTAAGCGTGTGAGCAATCAAAAAGAAAGACTGCCAGTCTTAGACTGGTTGTCTTTTAGTACTGTCTCTTGTTTGTTTATCTTTATCTGACCATTAATCTGACTGAAGCTCCAATATATTCAGATGTATTTTGACATGTTGTCTGCTCACATTTCATGATTTTACATTTTTCAGCTAACAAACTTATACCAAAATCCCCAGGGTATTACATTTGATATAAAAAAATATATTGATGAATATCGTAAATTCAGTGAAGTACTGACAAAATTTTTTGAGATTAAAGATGTAACATTTGAAGGTCGTGACCTTGAGAATATATTTGATGTAAATGGAACTGTTTTGGAAGCAAATCTGATGAAGTTATTGCAAGAAAATGGTTTAGACTACACTAGAATTCCTACCGAATTGTAAGTTTAAAGTTTCTTAAGGAAATATTAGTTTACCTTGATCAGATGGAGAATAGAATTCACTTTTATAATTAACCTTGTGAAATTAACAGTCTGTCTCATGTGACTAATAATCTACAGAGAAATATTTCATACGTCAAAATATCTTATCAGACAGTGAAACTAGATGATTATACGCTAAGATATATATTTGAATTCATTTTATTAGTGAGATATAAATTAGTAGTATGTTAAATTCCATTTTACTTCATATTTTCAGTATAAACAGTTTACTATCAATGAATAATGATACTGATTTAAGATTAGCAGATAATATATTTTATATATTCAACCAATATCTTCAATTAATGAATAAAAACCTAGAGTACATCAAAGGTAAGAGTGGTGTCATTTTTATTAAGAATGGTATTATCATTCCATCACCATTCTTTAACATTCTTTTTTATAACTAAACTATGATCATCTTGTCCAATACATTTAAGAATTTTTACTGCTGTCAAAATATTGATTACAAAAAGGAGTAGAAAAAAGTTTACAGTTACACTTATTTCTGATGTCTGCTATCTGGTACTTGACATTATTTAACTGTTTATTAGGTAAACCATTAAGTTTAGCATTGTTAGTAAACCAAACACAAGTTGGACCTATATTGATGACAGTATTGTTAGAACCAGAATGGTTAGAAGATATAGCTTTAATTTCTTTTAACCCAGAAAAGGTAAGAGCTTTACTAAAAGTTAAAAATTATCATTGGCCTACTCTGTTAGGTATGTGAAGGTCATTGTCCTGAATGACAACTAAAACAAACCCATTTCAATATCAGAGGTACTATTAGTAGATCATTATTTTTAAAAGATAATGATGTTATGATTAGTTAACTTCAAATGACTTGACACTTAGTGATTGTTTCTATAATAAACTTAAAAAACATACAAAAAATACATTTTTATTAATGTTCCCGCATTATTAGGCAAACTATTAGTATTTGTATTGTTGAGTTATGTCATGAATTATATCTTTCATAGTTCTGCAAACTATTCAAATTTCTACTTATTAATGAAGGCTTGTTTCTGGCTAACTCCCAATATTAAAAGGGTTGTAATAAACCCTATAAGATATTTTATTACAGGTATCAGAACTGTTTAGTAATGGTACTAAAGATAAACTATGTGGACCAGAGTTTTGGGAAGCATTTATACTGCCCGCTAATGATACGGGTGTACTGAGAAAACTACAAGATAGAATCTGTCAAGCTAATCTGACTGTTATGGAGTATGAATCAATGACCCTCCAGATACATGGCTATCAATTTATTGAACAGGTATTTTAATTTATAACACATTCTATGAACATGGGTCATTACTTGCTAAATCTAAATTCTTGAATATCATGTTTCAGGCTCTGTTTTGATTTTGTATTTCTATATCACTTTACAATGGGTGTATATATCACTTTACAGTGGGTGTATG